CAGTCAAAGATGGAGAAGCTCTATCCAGTCAGTAAAAACAAGACCTGGAGCTGACTGTGGCTCAGATCATGAGCTACTCATTGCAAAATTCAGACTTAAACTGAAAAAAATTGGGAAAACCACTAGGCCATTCAGGTTTGACCTAGATCGCATCCCTGATAAATATACAGTAGAGGTGAAGAATAGATTCAAGGGTCTAGATTTGATAGATAGAGTGCCTGAAGAACTATGGACAGAGGTTCGTGACATTGTACAGGAGGCAGCAATGAGCACCATCCCAAAGGAAAAGAAATGCAAGAAAGCAAAGTGGCTGTGAAAAATACTGGTACAAATAGCAGAGGAAAGAAGGAAAGCGAAAGGCAAAGGCGAAAAGGAAAGATTTACCCAACTGAACGCAGATTTCCAGAGAACAGCAAGGAGAGATAAGGAGGCCTTCCTGAATGAACAGTGCAAAGTAATAGAAGAAAACAATAGAATGGGAAGGACTAGAGATCTCTTCAAGAAAATTGGAGAAATCAAGGGAGCGTTCCATGCAAAGCTGGCCATGATAAAGGACAAAAACGGTAGGGACCTAACAGAAGCAGAAGAGATTAGGAAAAGATGGCAAGAATACACAGAAGAACTATACAAGAAAGACCTCGATGTCCTTGACAACCACGACGGTATAATCACTGACCTCGAGCCAGACATCCTGGAATGTGAAGTTAAATGGGCCTTAGAAAGCATTGCTAACAACAAAGCTAGTGGAGGTGATGGTATCCCAGCTGAGCTATTCAAAGTCTTAGAAGATGATGCTGTTAAAGTGCTGCACTCCATTTGCCAGCAAATTTGGAAAACGCAACAGTGGCCACAGGATTGGAAAAGATCAGTATACATTCCAATCCCAAAGAAGGGCAATGCCAAGGAATGTTCAAACTATCGCACAATTGCACTCATATCACACGCTAGCAAGGTCATGCTCAAGATCCTACAAGCTAGGCTTCAACAGTACGTGGATAGAGAACTACCAGAAGTACAAGCTGGGTTTCGAAGAGGTAGAGGAACGAGAGATCATATTGCCAACATTCGCTGGATTATGGAGAAAGCAAGAGAGTACCAGAAAAATATCTACTTCTGCTTCATTGACTATGCTAAAGCCTTTGACTGTGTGGATCACAACAAACTATGGCAGGTCCTTAAAGAGATGGGAGTACCAGACCACCTCACATGTCTCTTGAGAAACCTGTATAAGGGCCAAGAAGCGACAGTTAGAACCGGATACGGAACAACTGATTGGTTCAGCATAGGAAAAGGAGTACGACAAGGATGTATACTGTCACCTTGCTTATTTAATATATATGCAGAGTACATCATGCGAAATGCTGGCCTGGATGAATCACAAGCGGGAATTAAGATTGCTGGGGAAAAGATCAACAACCTCAGATATGCAGATGATACCACTCTAATGGCTGAAAGTGAAGAGGATCTAAAGAACCTCTTGCTCAGAGTAAAAGAGGAGAGCGCAAAAGTGGGCTTGAAGCTCAACATCAAAAAAACTAAGATCATGGCATCCGGCCCCATCACTCCTTGGCAAATAGAAGGGGAAGCTGTGGAAGTAGTGACAGACTTCACGTTCCTGGGATCCCAGATCACCGCAGACTGTGACTGCAGCCATGAAATTAAAAGACGCCTGCTCCTTGGGAGGAAAGCGATGGCGAACCTAAACAGCATGATAAAAAGTAGAGACATCACCCTGCCTGATAAAAAGTAGAGATATCACCCTGCCAACAAAAGTCTGCATGGTCAAAGCAATGGTATTCCCAGTAGTCATGTATGGCTGCGAGAGTTGGACTATAAGGAAGGCCGAGCGCCGAAGAATAGATTCTTTTGAACTATGGTGCTGGAGAAGACTCTTGAGAGTCCCTTGGACTGCAAGAAGATCAAATCAGTTAATCCTCAAAGAAATCAACCCTGACTGTTCCCTGGAAGGCCAGATAATGAAACTGAAGCTCAAATACTTTGGCCACCAAATGAGAAGGGAGAACTCACTGGAGAAGACCCTGATGCTGGGAAAGATTGAAGGTCAAAGAAGACGGGGACGGCAAAGGATGAGATGGTTAGACAGTGTCATAGATGCAACAAACATGAAGTTGAGCAAACTTCAGAGGACGGCGGAAGACCGGAAGGCCTGGCGGGACTTGGCCCATGGGGTCGCAAAGAGTCGGACTCGACTGTGCGACTGAACAACAACAACAACCTCTGAAAAAGTCTTTCTCAATCATTTCTGTCCTGGAGGGTAAAATTAATAGTCACACTGCAGGTGTATTATACAGCCTGTATAGATACCATCCATGAATAGTAATGCTTGCGCTTCTGAGATTTAAAGAAATGGGAGGGGGCATGGTTCAGTGGTAGAGATTCTGCTTAACATGCAGAGGGTCCCAGGTTCAATCCCTGGCATCTCTATTCAAAAGGAGCAGGTAGTAGTGATGGGAAAGACCCTTACCTGAGACCCTGGAGAGCTGCTGCCAGTATGAGTAGACAACATTGATCCTGATATACCTATGGCCTGACTCAGTAAGAAAGCTTCATATGTTCAACTTTTACATGAAATTGAGGTAATGTAATTCATGTGTTGCCATTTGTTGTTGATGTGCTGGTTATTACCCTCCCTTTGAACTCACCATCAACATTTTATAGAAATCTTTTCTTATAACGGTCAAAGCTTTAAATCCTGTAGCTGTCTGGCACCCATCTGAATACAATCCTGCATACTCAGAGGTAAATCCCATGGAGTTCAATGGGACTCCCTTCAGTGCAAACATTGTAGCCACCTCATCTATGCACTTGAGAACAGAAGAAAGATTTAAAATCTTGTTTTGGAGAGAGATTAAACGCCCAAGAAAGCCAGTGTACTAGCTAAAGCCGCCAGGATGCTGGAGAATGGGAAGGAAGGAAGCAAGTCCAAAGAGGAAGTGCCAACACAGCATCAACAGGAAGAACAAAAGCCCCACCAGAACAAGAGATTCTCTTGCTTACAGAGCTCTCTCCAAAGGAAAAGAGGGTACAGCAGGCAGTCTCATAAAGACTTGACATGTCAGATTGTGTAGCCCAGCACAAGCTCAGGAACTCCACAGAAGCATGAGGAATGCCTGCATCAATTACAGCAAAGAAAACCAAAATGCAGACATGTCCTGAAATGAGCCCAAACAGTATCCTCTGGTGAGCATTCTCTTAAGCAAGGGCATTCAAGATGGAGCAATTCTGTTCGCTACAGAGGAAGCCCATCCAAGTCTGAGTTATTACATCTTCTTGGGTTACTACTCGGTTTTGGTTAGTCGGCACACTGCAGTATTTCTGATGCAACTCTTTCTCTCGCACGTGGAGTCTCTTGCCCTGCATTTTGCATGGGGTGACACTCTCTCACACTCAGCTCTGGCAGGGAACGGTGAAATACATACACTGCCCTGAGCTCTTTTGGAAGGGAGGGCAGGATTAAAAAAAATGCACGAGAGACAGGCAGACTGACAGACAGACACAAACATGTTAAAGAGGACGGCTCTGAGAAAGGCCTGAAGGGTAAAAATAGTTACCTCAGAATCACTGAACCTTCCCTTGTAACTCCACTTTCATTGGAATGACTGAAAGGGCTACAATCACTCCTTAACGCAGCACTGCCACCCTGAAGGCTGGAGCTTGGCTCCTGTGCCAGCCCACTGTTTGCTGACAGTCCTACCAGTAAAATGCTGTGTGTGTGTGGGGGGGGGGGAGAGATGGACTTTCTGTTGTGATACAGCCACTGCCAACCTCACCCTGTCAGGTCCTGGAATGTCCAAGTATAATCTGGGGCTGATCCATCACAAAGCATTTGCAAAAAGGATGGGCAGTAACAATGCTGTTGGCCCCCTGCTGGAGAGGGCCGGAGGTATGTCTTACCTGAGGGACATGATCACCTGAGGAAAGTGATCGGAACCGGAGAGGTAATAGGAGTGTGGATTTGTGGCTCACAGGGGCAAAATCCCTGCGCCTGCCAGAAGGGAGGAGGCAAGTGGTCCCGTTTGAATGGGAACCTGGGCTTTCCTCCAGATCACTTATTCGCCTCCTCTCCTGCCAGTCAGCCCTTCCCCTCCAAGGGGCAGGGGGAAAGTGAAGGGGCATCTCCTCTCCCCCCCACACACACCAACCTCAACCGCGAATGTGTCCCCACAGAAGGCCGCCAAACAAACTGCAGCGAGACAGACGCGGCATAACAAACAGGCCAGTGTCAGAGAGATCCGCAAAGCCTGGCTCCTCTCCGGGCAGGCTGTGCCAGCCTCGGAGGGGGCAGGCGGGGCGGGGGAAAAGGGAAAGTTGGGCATCTCCTGGCACACTTCCCTCCAGGCCAACTTCTGAGGACCCCCAGCCCGCCTACAGCCTCAGCAGCCCGGCGCCCTCGCTCCAGGGAGGGGAGCGGAACCCCCCCCCCCTACGACGCCCACGGGCGCCATAAAATTAACGTTAAGTTGACACTTCAGCCGCCCTCGAGGTCTCGTCGTCGGCTTCCCCTCCTCGTCCTTCCCCCTTCGAAAGAAAGAAAGAAAGAAAGAAAGAAAGAAAGAAAGAAAGAAAGAAAGAAAGAAAGAAAGAAAGAAAGAAAGAAAGAAAGACACTGTGGGAAACAGGATGCTGGACGCCATGAACCCTTGCGATGCTCCAGCCGGGCACCTTTACGTCCATACATCTGTGGTGTGCAATCCCAAGCAGTTAACACCCTTCCAAGTACAGGGAACTCCACGCGCTTCGAAGGGCGTAAGTCCGTTTAGGATGACGCCGCGAGGGGCCCCTTCCCCTGCTTAGATGCAATGGGGGGAGGGCAAAGGATCCCTCAGCCACGGTCGCAGGACGACAACTCAGCGGACTTTGCCGACGCGCCGCTCCGCGCGCGGGACTTTCTGCCGGGCTCGGTCTCCCTCGGCCGCCCCCCGCCCGGCTCCCCATCTCTCCCCCCCGCCCGCCCGGTCTCCATCGGCGTTGCCCCTTACCTGCGTCGCTCATCTTCCGGCGCCTGCCCCCTCTGCGGCGGGCTCTCGGCCCCCTCTTGCCCCCGGCTCAGATCATGGTCCCGGCCGAGTCCGACTCC